AGGAATGCACGAAACTGTGTATGATAACACAGAGCAGCCACTCCAAGTCAGGAGTCTGGGCTACACTTCCACTGCTCATTTCCATAGTGGTCCCTTATGTTGCTCCCTAATCTCTGCAGTAAATTACTACTTGAGAGAAACGGGGCACTTGTGAAAAGGTTATCATTTTACGTGCTGTCACTTTTTCTATAATCAACTGACATTCTTTTCTTTTGGTTTTCTGAACTTAGAAGTTCTCAACACTTAATTTAACTAAAAATGCCAGTGAATAATCTTCAACTCTTGACTACTTCATGCTTGATCCTTAGGTTTCGCTTACCTCATCTCTTCAGTCAAGATATACATTTCCTTGTATTTTTGTCCTGTGTTGTGAGGTAATTCATCCAGCTGATCTTCTCAGCAATAATTCATTTCTCAGCACTGAAAATTCTTTTATGTATTTTTAACTTTTCTATTCAGAAGTCCTTATACTCTTTTGTTTTGACACATCAGTTTTGCACCTCAATTCTATCCTAAAATTCTAGTTACTGTTGAAATACTGCTTTATCTTTTCCCCTGGAACCACTGTCACTGGACCCACCTGTATGATTTATTCAGCTGGGCTCTGTCCCTCAACTTCCTGAGTCCTGTTAAAAGTGTAGTGACTGCAGTTCCCCAGCAGTTCAGACTTTGGGCAAATTAGACATGTGAGTAATGAACAACAGGAGATGGTTTTCCTACTTCTGTCCACTAGACCTAAGCACTCCAGGCAGGACTCTCTGATTGTGGAAATGTCCAGCCTCACCAGCTGGCAGTAGCTTTTGAAATTATACAGAATCAAGTCAACTATTGTGATGAGGGGAAAATGATCCATTCCTGATGGTTTAGAAACTAGAGGGTAAATAAATGGTGAAATGTGAAAGCTCACTAATTATGCAAAATCCTCAATTATTTATGATGTGTGACAGGCAAACATTAAGAAAACGTGCCCCACTGAATTACATACTTACGTGGTAAAGGAATATGCCACTTAAGGGAGAATCACATCATATAATTCTTATTTTTAAAAGGAAAATTTCAGGGGACCCAATCAGCTAAGGGTTCCAGAAGATACAGCCTTACCTGCTGAAGTGAAAGCTGGCCTTTCCTCAAATAGTGCTGACTGACTCATGAATGGACAGGCAGAGTCATGATGGAGTCATGTGTATGCACAGAAGATAATGTGCAAAAAAATTAATAATAATAATGAACTCATCATATGGGAAACGGAGGGAAAGAGAGAGTGAGAAGAAATGAAAAGGAGATACTTTGTTCCTCGTTGGATTTATAGTATGGGATTCAAGTCACTTAAGAAACTGCATAGAATTAAATTAGGAAATCTCGATCTAGGTTTAACCCTTGAACTTTAAGATTTTTGTTTTTCACACTGCTCACCTCTGCAACATATTCTCCTAAGCTGGCTTGGGTATATTTCTACTTTTTTCAAGGAATCTCAAATTTCAGTTAATGTTTTGGTGATTTGTTCAATTTCACGATGTCTTTCTTTCCTACATTTTTCTTCAGACTAAAAATAGCCAATTTATCCTTTTGAAACATTCATTGGATATCTAAGCTAATCTCAGACTTAACACAGTTCTAGTTTTCTGTTTATTTTTCATATAAACATGCTTCTATACTAATTTTTCTTCCAGCTAGTAAATGCATCAAAATGCACCTGCATGTCTGAGCCAAAAACTCAGTTGCCATTGTTTTGGGGTGGTTTTTTTGGTACCAGGAATGGAACTCAGAACCTTGTGCTTGCCAGGCAGGCATTTGTGCCACTGAGCTATATCCCCTGCCCTCAGTCTTCATTCTTGACTTCTGTTTCATCACTTCTGATTTCAGTGTAGAATAGATAATATAAGGTTTTGCTGGTATTAAGTTTGCTGTATTCTGAACATATACAAAAAAAGCATTTTCTTGACTCCTGGGACTTAGTCCTTATATATGTCTTTCTCTGGACAATGAAGTGTGAGGAAAAATTATTCTATTCCTTCATGGAAGCATTGCTATAAGAAACCGTTTTCCTGTCATGTGACTGATATTTCACAGGGTGAACTATGAGTCATCCTGGGCTCCTGACTAAGCCACAGTACTCTATTGACTCAAAATATATCAATACTATGAGCAACACATACACCTTGGCTACCTTATGACACTGAGACTTGGAGGTTTTTTGTAGATGCGGGATAAGTTAGTCTACCCTATCTGAAAACCCCTTCAAGTCCTCTTAGCTCTATTTCAAAGTGTCTTCTGGACCTCGTGCTTGTTACCTCTTTTGCTACCATCACTCTATTCTGAAGCTGTCTCTTGTCTTTAGGCTGATTTACTGCAGAAACCTCTTAATCAGTCTTCCCTCTCCTGCCCTGATATCTCTAAAGGCCATTTTCCAAGGAGTAGCTAAGCTCGTTTCTCAAAGGTGAAATAGAGCATGTTACTCCCTTTGCAAAACCCTGCAAAAACTTTCCATTAGCCTTAGAGTGAAATGTAATGTCTTTCTATGAACCACAAGACCTTACACTGGAATCTGACCTCCGCTGCTCTCTCCAAATTTTTCTCTTACTCTTCTTTTATCTCTCTGCTCCAATCACAGTGACTGTCTTACCGTTGCGTGCAAAGGATAGGCTCACTTTCCTTCAGGGTTTTCCTCTTTGACTCTCACCGTGAAAGATATTCTACCTCAGGACCTCTATGTAGCTTGTCCCTACACAAATCCCTACACAAATCTTTCTTTGAAGATGGAGTCCACAGAGCAGTCTCTACATTCTCCAAAGCCACATCCCCCAACAACTCATATGCAGTTACCTTGTTTTATTCTTTAAAGCACATTTTGAACTCTCTTGTTTTATTATTTACTAACTTGTGTCTGTCTTTCTAGACAATGAATATCATAAAGCAGGCATTTTTTTTAAAATGCTCTGTCCCTGGTGTATAAAAAGTGCTTGGTGTTTAGTGAGATACAATAAATATTTATCAAGTGAGAGAATTAATGAATAGGTAGCTGAAACAATCACAATGTCAAAACACAATTCTACAATGAAGAAACAACTGAATCAGAAGCAATATTCTTTCATCAGTCTTTTACTTTACAGAGCAAGAAATAAATCAAAACACTAGATACTCAATTTGTATAATTTTATATCTATGATGTACCACTTATAATGCATTTATTTAGTAAAATTTGATGTGTTCAATTTAATTTGTTCAAACTAGTACGTGCACACTGAAATAGGAATCTTTTTAAAGAGAATTGGCATAGGACATGCTTAAAGTTGCAGTAACTAACCTATGTTTCTCAATTCAAATTATCTGAATTTTCTATAATGGACCAAAGAAATATACAAGCAAAGAATATGAAAACAACCAAAAAAAATGGACTGAAAGACAAGGTTGCAGGTGAACTATGTAGGAAAATGCAAGGCCAAGAAATTTCTAAGGAAAATAATTTTCTGAGTAGCCTAAGTAGAGATAATGCATCAGTAGAATTTGTCAGTGAGCTGTAGATGCAATATAGTCTTTGTCAATCTCTCTTCAGTGACAAGTGTTTATGTATACTTCTATCACCTGTCAAGATGACTCAGATGAACTTCCTCCAATGGCCCCATCCCTGGATTACTAGTCAGTGAAAATGATAGATATGCACGAATATACTTGCACAGTTATAAGTTTTTACTCATGAAACATGCTATCCTTTGCAAAGCAGATGGTCCAGGTGAGGAGTACTTGCTATAATAAAGAGATATATTAAAAATAATTATATTTCAAAGGAAGTGAAATTTTCTCCCTGGCCTCAGGGCAGTCTATTTAGGAATGGTTTTGGAGTCCTGAGAACTGGATCAGACTCTTGTCCTGTGATTTTCCATTCTTGAATATGCCATTTGATGCTGAATGTGGAAGAGAATAATAATGCCTATCTCAAAACTTTCATAAAGTTTCTGTAAACATAAAATAACTCATGGTAAATACATGCTTTATAAGGTCCACTTCCACTTGAGATTGGCAATGTATATATCTGGTTAAGAAATGTTAAAAGTGCAATAATTAGAAAATGTCACTGTTATTCTCTTTAAACTCACAAAAGCACAAGATCTCTCTCATTAAGAATATCCACGACCTGTTTCCATAACCAACCATTTCCAAATAATCCATCTCTCACTCCCCCAAAGAAGCCAAACTCATAATCCATCATAAAATGAAACAAATTATTCATAGTGCCTTTACGTTGCTATTCAAGGAGGAAAAATAAATCAAAAGCAGAAGGAAAATGCCAAGATTGTGCCTTGTCTGAAAACCGCTTGCTGCTATAATATATAAATTCACATACCTCTGACACTTAAAGCTCTATAGCCTCTAGTTATTTGCTGCTTTGCTTACTGGAGTAGTTTTCTTTTAGTCATTGAATATATCCAAAATATCTTAGCAAATACGCAGATAGGGAGCATGCTGAACACTCTGGTGGAAGCATTTAGTTGCATGAAAAATTCCTGGTCATAACAATTGAGCTGTCAATCATCCAAACTTACTCCAATCACACTCGGGAGTCACTTTAGCGAAGTGATTAGTCATCAATAAATATACTGTAGAATACCAAAAAGATTACTGTCCAATAGAAATCCCCCATGAGCAAAAACAACTCTTTAAGGAAAATAACACAGGAAGAGCTATTATTCCTAATGAAATCCATCCTATGACTTGCTTCCATACATACAACCCATACTAGCCAACAAGGTGAAAATGAGATTATAACTAAATGAATCTGATTATTTTGTTTGTGTCTACCATCAAATCAATCAATATATTTATGACTTGATTGATTACAGGAAGATATATAATCACCCATATAACCCAATGAAGAATGGTCAGCGAACTTTGACCCAATGACTAAGTACAGTTGATAGTTGTGGGAATTCTCTGCTGATTTCTTTTAGAAACTGAGGATCACATTACACCGTCTAGAATGCTGATTGTGCTGTCTCTCTTACCTCCTGGTGATTCTTGGCCAGCCATTCCTTAATGGTGCCGAGGGCAATGACTGCAGCAGGCTCATTCGGAAAACCTAAGTTAAGAGTAGAAGATAAGAAATGAACAAAGAATGAAGAAGGCAATAGAGAATTGAGTCATGATATGTGAATGGAGTTTTTTCTATAAAATTATGTTCACTTCAACCAGTGAGTCCTGAGCAAGGCAGGCCTTAGTAAGCCATGCAGGAGGGGAAAACCTGTGATTCTCTGCACATGACATTAAAAGGGGAGTCCTACAACAATTTAGAGTAAAAACAAAGGATGTACTAGCTATTTAATAATAATATTAATTAAATTTATTTATGTTTGTTTCATAGTTTACACAGAACTTTCATGTGTTTTTCTCATAAGTGGTGCTCAAATTCAGGTGTGTTACCTCCTTATTACCCCTTTTGAGAACCAAGGAAATGTGGGTCAGAGAAGATGTGTGTTTGGTTGTCGGTCACAGGCTCGGTACTCCATCAATGGGCTGTCAGGAGGCAAGGCAATAGTACAAGGGGTGGTAGAAAAACACAGTAGTGTGCAAAATTCTGAAAATTTATTAGAGTAAAGGACGCATTGCCATTTATCTCCCTCAAAATGCTGTTCCTCACTATGAACACACTGATCCCATGGGTCTTGCCATTTTCCAAAGCAGTTTTTGAAGCCCTCTTTTGTGTCTTTAGTTGTGCTGTGATGGCTGCTTTGACTTCTTGAATTGGTTCCAAACATTTTTTCATGGTCATTTTGACTTTGGAGATGAGCCATTCATCACACAGTGGTAGATCTGGTGAATAAGGTGAATGAGGAGACACTGTAATGTTTTTCACAAGCCTACCTTTCTGTTGGATGGCGCTCAATTGCACAATTCATTGAAGGTTTATCATTTTTATCACTGAAGGCACTCATGACAGAGGACCTACAGAACTGCTTCAAAAAGTGGCAAGATGATGGCATGAGTGAATAGAAAGCAAGGGGGAATATTTTGATGCGGAATAATGATAATTAATCTTTCACCATAACAATGTTTTAAAATTTAAACATTTATCATATATTTTACTCATTCCTGGTACACCCCTTTAGGGAACTTATACCCTTTGTATGCTAAATGGCAACATCACAGAATGCTAATCACAGCAGTCCAAGTAAACAACTTCTGCTCCATTTAGGGACGCTGCAGGTGACATTTGGAGTAAGACCACATAAACTAAACTGATCATGCATAATGGGTTTGATTTTACAAGGGCAGAAAGAATAACAGACTTAAGCTTCCTCCCAGTGAGAAATATGAGTACACATATTCAGAATTTCTAAAACACATCCAGATGTCTTTTTAATCTTACATAAGCTGAACACACTTTTAGACCTGAAGAATCATTACATATTCTGTCAATAAAGATAGAAATAGATGAGGGAATAATCCTATAAGTTTTATATGTATGAGGAAGAAAGAAGAGATGTAAGGGACTATTTTACTGAAATCACTCTCTTTAAGTGCACCACTGCTTGCTTAATCGCCAAATCCTATCACCCTTCAGTCTTCAAACTAAGTGGTGTTAGATGCACTTAACTGGATTTTCATGCTTCAAAATCTCTTCCCCCTTCAGTTTTTCTTTTTCTGCAGTTTACTTTTTGTTATTCAGTGGTTCTTAATATGTCTATGAAGTTGTTCAGCCATCATCGCTAATTCAACAATATTTTCATCACCTTCAAAAGGAATTCTCTGCCTATTAACACACCCAACCTTCCATTCCACCACCCCTGATGACCATTATTCCTTTCTGTCTCTGGATTTCTAGGTTCTTCTCCTGAACTCTGCAACACTATCTTTTTCTATGTCTTCTACTTATTTGACCAATGTGCTTCTTGATGTGGGAGAAATATAGCTATGAGCCTGTTGGATGTCAAATGTGCTGAATTTGTGATTCCAAGACATCAAGGAATGAAGCTGAGAGCCAAAGGAAGTTAAGAAAGTTTTATTGGAAACAAGGCGAGAAGAATAGCTCCTGGATTATCAGGAAGTTTCCTGAATAGGTGGCCACCAAGATCCTTTGTTAGGAGTAATTTATAAGCAAATTCACAATGTGGGTACAATGTGGGTCAAACTACAATCAACCTATAGAATTACAAGGATAGCTGCTCAGATAATACTGATCCAATAGAAAAATGAGTCATGTAGTAAGGGTACATAGACGGAACAAAGGTATTTTTGAGAATGAGTCCAGATGCTCTAGTCTCCCACCTGGGTTACTGATGCCTATTTAGACTTATTGGACCAAGTTGTGCTAATTACACTATAATATCAGGTTACTATTTATACCTTAGAGAGGCTGGTAGGCCTGGCCATTGTATTTTTATCTTGCGGGTTGGTCTTCTTCAGATGCACCTCCAGTCACAATTCTGATATCTTTATTTGTGTGTTGACTTCCTTGAGAGCCCAGTTCCTTTCTGGCTGTATGTTAATTCCTGTCTAACTTAGCTGCCTACAGTACTCTGGATCTGTTTTGTAGGGGCAGCATCCAAAGAACATATATTGTTCCCAACATCCTAACCACAGCCTTCCTCTTAATCTACACTGTACACTAGCCAGTCCTATTAACATCTACTGGCATGTTTATAAGGATGTCTTCCAGAGAGCACAGTACTCGTATATTGTCTATGTAGATCAGGAAGACAGAGAATTGTTGATGGCTTGTTGATGCAGAGACCTGAGATTTAAAGACTCAGGTTTGGAGGGCAAATACACAGAGCAGTAGTTCATACTGATGGTTCAAGATATCAGTAAGCTTTCAGAGAAAATCTGTGAGAGAAGAGGAGCAAGAGTATTCTCCCATTTCCAGGAATAATTGTTGCTTTTCTGATTAGATTTCTATAGTCTTCACTAGAAAGTTCTTTAAGAAATGACAAAATTAAGCAGGGCCAATTTTTACCTATAATTTATAAATCAGAGAGCACCACTATGATATGGAAAAATGTGTACAAGTTCTTCAACCTTTATAAACCCATCCTCAACCTTTGTGATTATGGATTGCTGTGATTGTTTAATAGTGTTCACACTCTGTAAATGAATGCTTCAAAGTATAAGGCCCTTAAAATTAGCTTATAAACTGTCAATTAAACAATATTTAATTCATTAAACAAATTATTAGGATACTCCCCAAGAAGACTGACTATGCAGACACTCTTAGTGAGTCCCTGCCCTCTAAAACCCCAAAGTTTGACCAAGGAGGTACGTAAGCAAAAATGGCAGCCATAAGACAGCATGCACGTGCATTGAGGTGGCCAGCTGGGCTGAAGACAAGGGCAGCTCAGTGAGAGAGAGGGGTGGAGCCCACCGTGAAATGGCCGAAAGCTTGAGAAGGAGATGCAAAATGGGGAACTGAGGGGACCCAGTCCTCAGATGTAAATAGTGCACAGTAAGGGGACAATGGAAATAGTGGGGAGAGGGAAGGTGAGAAGAAAGCATGAGTACCAGTTGGCTTCATAGAGGAAGGAGGCAGCCAGGATAGGCACGTGCTGTGAAGGAGTGAGCCACAGCAGGTCTTTTCAGTCCACCCCTTTAGAGAGTGTAATACTTACATTTATGGTCACCCTCCCCTTGATGTGCTCCAGCACAAAATGCAAAATGTATCCTTCCTCAGAACAAACCTCACACCTCCCAGCTTGGTGCTTTCTGCTTGTTATGGCCATACCTCCCTCCTACTCACTGCTGTATTTGAGTAGTTTTCCTGCTAGTAATTGAGTCCTAAACTTTACATTGTCCCTTTGAAATATTTATACCTTCCTTGGCCTTGGATCTCATTCAAGGTCTGATGGGCCCTCACCTAGACAGCTATAGTTGACCTTTAATTGTCCTCCTGTGGTCTTCCATGCTTTCTCTAATCTCTCCAGCACACTTCCAAGTGACTCTTCCTAAAGTATAGTTATCGTAACATTACAATCTTAGGCAAAGCAGTGGTGACTTTATTGATATGCCAGCTCCTATGGAATAAACACAAGAACCTAACTTAGCATTACCCATTTCAGTGGTCCCATGGGATCTTTCCAGACTTGCTTATTCTCTTCCCATGAAATTCTCTAATTTTAGGTGTGTCTAGTAATTATTCAAAATATAAGAATAATGGATATATAAATCAAATGAATACAATAATCAGGCTCAGTTGCAAATGACCAACTGCATTAATATTCACCATTAGCCGATATAATTTCCTACAGAGAAATTATACAAATTCTTATAGAACCATGGCAACTATGGTCAGTTCTCAGCTATGTGTGACCTTCTGGTCACTTTCTCACATTCATCAAAGCTTCTGGCACTGAGTTATGGTTTTCATCATAACCTCGAGAACTGTCATATCACTGGGTGGTTTCAACATAAGGGGATGACTCACATGACACCTGGCTGCCAGTTCCTTGACCTGCTCATCTTTAACAGCAACCTCTTCCATTCTGACTGAGCCACCTCCAGCTTAGATCACACACTGGCCTTTTATGTAACACTTCCAATCCAAGGTTACTACCCTAAGCAAAGTTCTCTAAAACGTGCTTTTCAATTTAGTTTGTTCAGTTACTTTCCAAGAAATGACTTTCCCAAGTATTTAAAGCTTACTCTATTCTTGGACCACTCCCCAAATTAATGTCAACATTTCTCTCCTGAATTGTTTGGCTTTTTCCTGTTTTGCTAGACTCAGCTCACCCTTTATTTCCACTCCAACTTCACCGGCTTCTCTCTCTGTTTCAAATGCTTTATGTTCCCTTTACTCCTCCTGCTTGAAGGCATTGCTCATGCCATTTCTTCTTCCTGAAATGACATTTCCATTCCCCTTTCCTAGCTTATGTTTGCTTTTATTTGTTCTCTTCTCAGTTATCACTTATCCAGTGAAGACTTCCCTGACATTTATGATACCCTATGTTATGCTTTCATAACACCACAAATTCAGCACAGATTCTACATTTGTTTATGTAAATATGCAAGCAATAATACAGTGAAAACCCTAAGAAGGCAGACAACACCCCTCTCTTTGCAAATCACTGAATACCTAAAATATTACTGGTG